GTAAATTGTTCTGATTTTATTTAAACAACACAATGTATTCTGTGGAGGCTTTACAATTTTTAAATAATCTGGATTTCTCATAAAACATGCTAGATTTGAAGAAGAGTAGAAAAATTGGGGCTATGACAAAAAAAAAACCAATATGCATTTAAAACCGTATATAAGAGATTGGTATGTTTGGTGTTGATTTTAGAATCATTTATTTGGTAGATAAGAAGAAAATAAGATGTTCTTCACGGGCTGGCCTTTTTTAAACATTTGCTGTTACAGTAAATAAGGAATTACTGTAAGTTAATGCTGTGCCTTCTTAAGGAAACAGATTGTCATCATGGCACCACAATCATGTCTGCGCCGTTTTAATGAAATGTGCTAACTATTCATTTCATGCCAGCAGTCATAAATATTGCCTGTTTTCCTTTGTGTGCACTTACAGATGTTTAATGTAGATGTTAAAGGTTTGTAGTGTTGCTGGTTTGTGTATTTATTTTTCGGATGGTTCCTTTAAAAATACATTTGTGGTGAAACATGTCATATTGTGTGATATTTTTCTATCTGTCTGTCTGTCTTTCTATACTGTGCATTTTACTTCTTCCAACGTCCAATGCTGCACTCCTTCCCCACACTAATTGCTGTATTTGCATGAAGCTTATTTGCCATTCAAATCACACCTGTCCACAACAGCAGCAGCATCCGGAGTTGCTGGGAAAGAAAAGACGTGATTCATGAGTGCTTTTGGCCAGAGAAGCTTGTACATGCGCACCTCATTTTTTTGAGGGGATGGGCTCAAGCTCATTCCTCAAGAGTGTTTGCTAAGGAAAGAAACTTTAGATGTTTTACTTTTTTCTCACATTTTGAGCCGATTGTAATTCCATTTTGCTTTTTTATTGCAATTTATCGTAGGTATTAGAGCTGAAGTACTGTTTTCTAGAATTTAAAATCACAATTTTATTTCAACATTGCATTGATTTCACTACCGAACAGTTTGTATTATTCATTTTTGCTTTTTTTTATTACTAGTCATTTCTCACAAAATGTATGACTACATGTTGCACTCTCTGCATAGATCTACAGGAGACATGCTAACTTAAGAGGATGCAGAAATGTAGTTTTACTTGGACATAGGCGACAAATCATCACGTTCATGAAGCATAACAAAAAACTGTGGCATAATGGCGCCCTCTACTGTGAATACACAGTATTCACATCAGAGGGAATACTGTGAAACCTGTTTCTGAAAAACAGTCAGCTTATGTTAGTTCATAAAGTATTTTCATGAAGTAATCGTAAACGATTTAATTTAATAGCACTATACTTTTTCCAATTACAACTTTTCTTTTTTTTTACACTTTTTTCTATAAGTTTTTTTTCAAATCCTTAACCAATATGATCAGAACAGAAGTCAGATCAACCTCGGTATTTATAGTTGTGTTGTGCATGAAAAATATATTTCATAAATCAACTCACCTAAACAGAAATTAGAAGGGTGTGAAGTATTCATTTTTTAAAGTTGCACAGAAATGTTTGTATATGTTTGTGTATATATATATATAATATATATATATATATATATATATATATATATATATATATATATATATATATATAATATATATATATATATATATATACCAATAAAAAAGTAGACTAAAGAGACAAAATAGGATTACTTTCCAGAGAAAAAACTTACATTTATCTCACACTCTTTAAAAATCCCCTTCCTAAAGGTCTCTACTGTCTACAATCCAGCGCAGGTAACACAAGCACTTTTTAATTTCCCATCTTTCAAAGACGTGACTTTACAGACGTACGAAACGTCAGAACTCTGCACAACGCCAAGTCAAGCGGAAAAACAAGAGTCCACGTCACCGCGCTGCCGTCTTACCACCAGCAGATGGCACCAAAGAACCAGTCGGTCAGAAACGTGAGTGATAAGTTATTTTTGCTGCTTTTTCGTCGCTGTCTGCTGGCACAGCTCTTGGATAAGTGTATAGTTTGAGTGTAAATCTGTATGCCTGTAAAGTTCATTCACCTGGCATATAAATGAGCGGCCGCCAGAGCTTATCTGCACTGTTTCCTTCAGGAACAACACGGGGCCTCCCGGATATAACTCCCCCGACTGTAAACAAACAATCAGGAGCCAATGAGAAAGAGTGGGCGGAGCTTAATAGAGAGAAGAAGAAAAACACTCAGAGCCAAGCAAAAACAAGGTTACACCGTGTAGATGCGTAGCAAAGGAGAAGCCAATGACTTCAGGAATAAGAACCGAGAGGGCAGGACAGTAAGCAGTTCAGGTGAGCCGTGTGAAAGGTCGCTTTTGATCGCAAAAGATAAAGGTTGCGCCAATAAGTGGTTGCGGCTGCAACATGAAGTTGGGAAACAGGGTTTGACCTCGTGTTGACAGCCTGCCTGCCTGCCTGCAAGAGGAGGAGAAGAGGAAGAGTAACCAATTGCAAACAGTTTCAATAAACAATAATAATAACAACAGCAACATCTGAACTGTGCAACCGCAAAAGGGAAGCGCTCACTCCGCTCGCCACTTGACCTCTAATAGGTCAACAGCAGAGACTCTGCAGGACAGCCGCTGGCTGGTGAGTTCATCCTCACCATTGATTTTCATGCAAGCGACGCGTGGGAGCAAACCAACACAGCGATAACGCGGCGAATGCTGAAACGGTGTTTTTTTTTTTTTTTTTTTTTTTCCCGCAGCTTCAGTCTGAAACGGGTTACGTCGCGAATTCTTGGTCAGCGTGCTGACGTCCTTGACGTACGGCGGCGGGTCCATGGCCGCCTTCACCAATGCTAAACTTAGCGAGCCGCTCATGCAAACTTTGTCCAGACTGCAGCATAACACGAACCACGGAGCCTCGGATGCTCCGAAACGCTCAAAAATGTCAGCGTGAACTCGGGAGTACGGTGCTCGCAAACAGCCCGTGAGTTTTCGTCACGTCTCGTGGCTCCACGGAAGCCGTTAAGTCTCAGGTTTTGACAGGAGGCCACCGTGGACGCTTCTTGAAGAATATAGCGGCGTGACCCTTTAAAGGTGAAGTGAAACTGCTGCAATAACAATCAAGTTGAGGATTGCGTAAAGGTATTTCTGAAAGGTTGTTATAACAGTGAATAGCTAGATAGTAAAAACTGTGTTAAGTTAAAAAAAAAAGTAGGACTCGTGTATTTATGCGTTTATTTTTAATTACTACAGTAATATAACTTAATGTAATATATAATTTATTTTACTTGGATGTGGTTTATTGTTTACTCATTGTCTAATCTCTTGATTTATTCTGTGATCATACTCTTTTAATCTCTTGTTTCTATGGTCTACTTTTTATTTTCTTTTAAGGTACTTTGAGTCTGATTGCAAAATGTGCTATAGCAATAAGGGCCCCTCTGTCTGAGGGCTATTCTATTCTATTCTATTTTCTTTCTCTTTTTTATCCACTTAATCATCTCAATTAATCTGATCTGAAACGTTCTACACAGAAATGAAATTGTTTTACATCCCGTTTGACATTTATAAAAGCCTTTTCTGCTTTTTTTTTATGTTCAATGAAAACTATTAGAATGGTCAAACCAGGACTAATAGTAGTCTGGGTGCAAAATGAGGGGTTCATTCTGAGCAACAAACATGCAAAAAAGCCACAGAGATAAACAAAACGTTTATGTTGATGTTCTGCTGTAATTGCCTCCAAAATCACTTGATATTGTTAAGGGAATAAGTGGTATCTTCATTTTGGTTTGGGTTTGTTGATAAGAATTGTCCTGTTTAGAAGCCCCACTAAAAAACATTTAAATCAATAAGAAGAATTAGTGATACTACATCGCATCTCTAGTTCAATATGAAATCAAACTCATTCCCCGAGATCTAAAGCGTAGATGTTGGTGAATGAGAAACACTGTGATGACTAAAGACATTTTGAATAATCCACATGCAATATTAAACAATAAATAAGGAATTGTATGTCTTCCTAATGTACCGCAGTTCTCTTGATTCCCAACAGAATATACATTGCAGGACTATCCAATCATGCTTTAAAGCAAAGTTGATTTGTATTCTATTCAAAAATTGTAAAAATAAATAACATGACATTGACAATTACAAATTTCAACCAGTATGGCGTACCCGTTATACGCCATTTGTAACAAACTTTGACTTCGTCATTTACTAACATGGATCTCAGACTAACTCCAGCTTCGTCATCTTTCAGGGAACATGATATGATTCAACTTTCCCCAGAAAGAAGTGGTGATGCCACCGCAATGGCCCTTCGCCACTTCACAGCACCAGGAGTCAGTTTCCCCACTTTTGGCTCAGACTCAGTAGTCAAGGGCAGCGATGATTTGCTGTCAGGGCTCCAGGAGGTGCAGCTAACAGCATTCAGACAGCGAAGCCACTCAAGCTGCTCGGACATTTCCATATGATCCTGTGGAGCAGACAACAGCTGAGGATTACATGTGTGTTCTTGTGCAGAGAAAGTTCAGCACACAATACGTCGCATTAGCGCTGAGTGTGAGCCTTAAGAATAGCCTCCAAGTTTTCGTCTCCCTCTCTACAGTGTCAGGTCAAAGCATTTTCTCAATTAATCTGTTCACCCACAGCTGTTCTATCTCTAAGGTGTTTAAATTAACGCTTTTATTAAGCTCTTAAAGTTGTTTGCTGTTTGTTTTGTAAAGTCTGACAATTGTCTACGTATTCTTTGAGGTTGATAACAGTTACAAGTTTATTATTAACGTGGCTGCATTGGCTGTAATGCAGCTGTAATAAGGATAAGGATTCTGTGGGATCTTTATAATTCAATTGTAAATGAAAACTAAGAACATAATCAAATAATTTTTAATTTCAAACAGAATGCTACAATTTGTACTATTATTGCTATAAAAATATATTATGTATATTATGTTTTATTTTGCCTTTTTGATAAATAAGGCAAAAAAAAAAAAAACCTAAACAAAATAAAAACTAACACCAGCTACTTTTTGTGGTAGTTTTCAAGCTATTTTCTGAAGAACAGTAAGCCTATTTTATTAGAATATATATATTTTTCATGTAAAATAAATGAGAAATTTACACTGAGCAAACAGCAAGTTGATATTATCTCACTAGTGAGTGTATCTGTAGCCCCTCTGCAGTCGGCTACTGAGCAGATGCTGTTTATAATTTTACAAATGTATTGCTTTAATAGGAATATTTGCTAGAAGTATTTTTTGGGTTTTATGTGTCGCTCTGTTATGGGACTGAAGAGAGGACAAAAAAGTCCAAATAATAATAATACTAATACTTAATAAAACTGCTAGGATAAAGTTAGTGCTACCACTTTCCTCATAGGCCGACTTTGATCCCAAGGCATACCTTTTGCTCTGGCGACACACTCTTCCTCCCTGTGTTTTTCTTTTTACCCTCCACGGGGCAGATCCTCATAGTTCTGGCCAGGCTAAAAAGCCTAAACGCTGAACTCATTGCAATCTCATGTTTGTTATCTCATGGTAAATTTTACCATTCTTTATTGTTTCATATCATCCTTTATATGCATGGGGAAACCATGAGAGCCTTCATTGATTGAAACGCACAGCAAGCAACAGGTGGGGCAGGGGCATCACTGCCTCGCTCTGCAGGGTGACCTGAAATTAGTCACTCTTGGCACTTTCTGGGTTTCCTGAAATTAACTACCAACCCTAAAGACAGTGCGTTTGAAAAAAAAAATACTGCTTTTTTTTAACTAAGGTTTTTTTAACCTTGATGCTGGCAACTATGAAAACAATGTGTTATTATGACGAGGTGAGAGGGAAAATACCACCGTGATCAAAGTTTTCTCTTTTCTCCTGGAGCATAGAGGAACATAGCACTGCCAGCAACAACACTCTAATATTCTGATAAGATAGATGATAGTTTTTTTTTCTCCTCCCATGTTCACATGATTTGTAGTATACACAAAGCAGGCCTGAAGCAGGGAGATGACCTAATTACTGACTGTCAGTGTATGTATAGCGCTTCACGCATGCTCACTTTTTTCTAAGACTCAGCAGCATGAGCTGTTTCCACTGGACTCGGTCTCGACTGCGTTGTGTCAAAGCACATTGTCGCACCATCAGTGGCTCACCTGTGTCATAACAGCGGTAGAATATTGCAACACGCTGGAATGCAGGTCAAGCTCAAAGCTCGATAAGACTCGCAGATCAAATTTTCTTTGTGGCCTGAATTAACCCCGATCTGTTTTGCTTAGTGGTTGGTCTTTGAGATGAAGGTTAATAGAAAGCAGTCTCACAAACTTGTCAGTTGTGTACATATAAAAGAAGAACAAAAAACCTGAGAGCAGTACAGTGCGGTGTCAGGCCTTGAACATAAACCAAACACGTGCACTTACGGTGACTGGTGTCCTGAAATAGCTGCAGCGTTTGTTTTGCACTCCTCCCATTTTCGTGTCCAGTGACATTTTCAGATTCAGTCTTGGACTGCATATTCACAGCTCGCCCGAGCAAGATTCACATTTCCCCCTCTGTGTGTGTGTGTGTGTGTGTGTGTGTGTGCGTGCGTGCGTGCGTGCGTGTGTGTGTGTGTTCGTTCATCCAAGCAGGGGACAGAGTGGAGGTCGTGTATTTTTAGGCGACGATTTAAAGTCAGAACAGCTGTGTATGTTTGTTGGCGAGCTCACTTATTGGCAGGAACGAGAGTGTTGACAAGTTTTATTCCTTTCCATTTGCTTCCTTGTCCATCTTTAGGTCTTTGTTTCTGTGGACGGGGTTACATATCTGAATGTGTTTTATTTATTTATCTTTTTATTTATATTTATTTATTATATTTCTCTGAATGCATAAAGCAGCGTTAATCTCTGTTCTTTCTGTGTCCAGCACCATCATGGCAGGTGATATGATGTTGCTTATGCGAGGCTTGGCCAAGTTGAGCCAGGCTGTGGTAGAGACCCAGAGCAACGCCGTGCGCAATGGGACCAGTATGTACACTATGTGACAGCTTTCTCACACTTTCCCCACATTTCTTTTTATTTGCAAATTATTTAGCAGTTTATATAGCCAACTATGGAGCATATGTGGACCTGGAACCAAATATTATATGACATTGTAGGGAATTGAGACGCCACTAAGCTAACCGTGTTGGTTTGCTGACTGTGGAAAAAAGCTAAATTTTTAGTTTGATTGGACAGAGATCTTATGTGAATTGTGATTTTCAGGTTTTCTCACAAATTCCCAGCTGGAATTTTAGGTCTGGACTTTGACTGGGACATTCTAACACAATGTAAATATGCTTTGATGTAAATCATTGAAATTGTGACATTGGATTTATGTTCCTGCTGGTTCACCTTTAACCCAGCCTCCATTATTTCTCCCCATCCACTGTCTCTAAACATTTGCATAGCCATTAACATATTTTCTTATGTTTGTTATTCATAATGTGATAATCTAAGGGGGAAAAAAAATCAATCTTTTGCAAGTACCTTAGCAGTGAATTCTTCTTGTGTCTTCACTGTATTCTGTACTTTAAAAAAAATCCAACATGTAGTTATTGGCAGTATTAGTTGAAGGTATTGGATAAATGGAAAGGAAAGACTACAGCTTTGAAAGCAACATAAGCAACATAAGCAACATAAGCTTATAACAGCCGTACTAGCAAGTTGTCTCAGGGTCAAAGAAGCCATCTTAACCCAAAGCTTTGTACAAAATGATGTTTAAAATTCATGTAGTTCAGGTTTTTTTTCATGTTAAGAAGGTCCCTTTTTGTGTTGCATTGGTAAAAACTTGTCTCTTGTGCTACGCTTAACATATGGCTTGGGTGGTGTATAAAATATGCATGTCAGATCAGCTTTCACGGCATCTGTGCTTGATTTGGTGGACAGTTGTTCCATTGCCAATATCTGCCTCCTGCTGTTTTGCACCTGGAGCTCAGGCAAGTCAACGAACTGCACAGCCGAGAGTATTGGTTTGGCTTATGGCCAAAGGGAAAAATACAACTTTCATATCAGACCAAACTGTAAGCAACTTAGGATAAAAATATACCTTTAAATTTCTAATGAAATGTTGTACTTTGTGTTTTTATTTACTCAGGAGTTGCAGGCGTCGGTGCCGCTGTCCAGAGCGTCCAATCAGCCGCAGAGCAAGGCCTCCATGTTGCCATGTCGAAAATGCAGGTAAGTTTCCATTTTATGAGTTAGTTAATCTGCGGCGGAGCGGCATCTCGCTGGCTGATTTGTAACCGGTGTACATCTGCCGTTTCCAGGAGCTGTCCGGCCAACAGCAAAACACCTCTGAGTTGGAGTTTGACTTTCCTCAGGATGAGACTGCGTTCACATCATCAGAGTTCAGGGAAGAACACGCGGACTTTACAGCTGATCACGCAGAGACGGTTTCTGACGGAACAGCAGGGACGAGCAGCACGAGTGGGAAAAAGTCCATGTTTGAGGGATACAAAGATCCAAGCAACCAGTTTAGTGGTCACACAAGATCCTACCACCAAGATGCCAGGTCTGTTTCTGTTAACAGTTTATATCTTTAAGCGGCATTTCTGTCGGATTGCATATTTAACGATAATGATGTGTCCCTCGTGTTTTACAGGCATTTCTTTGGACATCAGCAGTATAACCAAACTCTGAGCAGGCATGTGTTGCAGGAGGTTAATTATCCACGCCAGGTCGGCCAGTTCAGGACGTACCATCAGGACCAGTCCTCAGTGGGAGGACTGACAGCCGAGGACATAGAAAAAACCAGCCAGAGCAAAAGGGCTGACTCCAAGCCGCACAAACAGATGGTAATTCCTCTTCCCATAACAACAGCTGGCGCTCGTACCCCTGTAAACATCAGCTTTGCGCTCCTGGTTTAGCAACGCGATGCGAAGGCTTCATCACTATGTGTCGTCCGCAGCTGAGCGAACGAGCCAGAGAGAGGAAGGTGCCTGTGACCCGGCTCGGCAGATTGGCCAACTTCGGAGGTACGACCACATTACTGCTTCTGAGTCTGCGGGTGATTCATCCGCAGTTAGTCTGACTACATCGGTGCTCATGTGTGCCTTCCTGCTGGTGTGCACGTACATCCGCAGCAGATTGTAACCATGACAAAAAACCCAATAAGTGAGCTCGATCATGTTACTGCTTGAGTCCTTTCCTGGTTAACAGAAGCAACAAACGTGCATCCATCCCACTGTTTAGTCTCTGCAGCATACAGCCACAATTCATAGATCATGTTTATAAAAATAAATATTATCAGTGGAAATATCATCAGTGGTGTCATAACCATGACTAAATGGCTGATACATCTGTACAGACAATCTAATCAATTTCTATTTACAAAGCAACATTTATTCCTTATCAAAAAGAAACAATGTAACATGATGGTAATTACAGGTATATTGGAGTCTACTCTGTATATGAGTTTAACATTTAGAAGACAGGCCACCCAATTAAAATTTTTCAGTAAAGAATATATCTTATTTTGACGTCTTCCTCTCTTTGAGCACGGATCTCTAACCGCAGTCCATGGAGCCTCAAAACAAATGGCTGGATTACCGACTCTGCATGTCTCCTGTTTGTTCTGTGGGCTCCCGCTGGCGACCCAATTATTAGAACGAGGTGTGCTGAAGCACAGACACGTGTAAAAGTTGTCGTTAACAAGCCCTTGAGGGCTGGAGTTTGAGATCTCTGTTTATGAGAGCTACAAGCAGATATTAACTGGTTGATTACTGAGGCGACATGCCTGCCAGGAGCTGGCTGCAACAACCAATGTGCTGTTTGGAGCTCGCCAGCTGTAGTTCTGAAATGCCTTTACCGTAAGAAGAGGAGCTGGGGGATTAATTTTAGTTGCCGCGTCATGACTTGATGTTGAAATATTCTCAAATGTCAGACTTTGTCTTTCTTGTAATCCTTGGATTCTTCTGTCTTTACTGCCTTCTGCCCTATATCTCCTTCCTTCCTGATTCCTATAACTGGCTCCTGGCTACTTCACCTGGGGAATTTTATTACTTGAGTTGGTCTTTCTTTAAGATTGGGCCACCTTCTTCACAACCATAACTTGACGGGGTCACGGTGTTACAAGAGATATTCCAGTCAGTTGCCAAACTAGATAATTTGTAGAAATTAATGGTCAAAGACTTTTTATCTTCAAGTCTAAAACGGTCCTGTAATGACGGTTTTTAATCTCATCACTTATGTGGTAAATACTGCGAATGTCACAGAGAATCCTCAAGACCCTGTAGTTTATCTACACCTGATCATTTCTTTCAGATTAATCACGGTCCAATGGAGAAAATCTCAGATTGCAGCTCATCCAGTCTGTAGCTTAGAGCTTAATTTAAGATGCTGTATACACGATGCTGTCGTGAACTTTAATCTGGAACTTTGAAAGCGACGATACAGCGACCAAAAGTAAACCCAGAGCGGTCTGGGATAAATCGGGGGAGGACGGCCAACACAAACACGTGCGTCAAAATTTAGCCGCAGCTCGTTTCCAGGATCTACTGGGGCCACAGCACGATGCGGCAGGTAGCTGAGCGACGATTCAGCAAGTTGACGGCCGTAAGTAACACTTAGAAGGTGTTGAAAAGTGTGGGCAGAGCAGGTTTAGTAACTTGGCCTCTGCTCGTCCTTCGCTCTCCTGTAATGGGCGGTAAGAAACGTCAACAAGTTCATTACCTTTCACACTGCTGTGTGTGGGGAAAATGTACACATTTTAGTTTAGGAAGAAGAAAAACAAAACTGCATCAAGGCTTATAGTCATGACGCGGTTGGCTTGTTTCCCTGGCTACAACCTGGCTCTGATGTCTGTGATTCTCAGTGCTTTCAAAGATTTTGCTGAGGGTTTTCAGGACTTTTTGGGAGCAGGAGAACGAGTGCATAAACTGTGCACTGTGGAAAGCAAATGTATAATTTATACAAAATATATTACTGAAGATATATATTGTAAAAGTTAAAACATATAGAATTATGAAATTGTTGGGTAAGTCTAAGACAAAAGTTGCAGCATATCTCCAGCTTTATTTTGAGTGCACAAGTGAAGATTTGTATGGTGCTTAAGCCAGTGATAAGAAAGAAATAACGCTAAGTGATGCCTGAGTCCAGTGCCTGGGAAACCTAGCAAACAGGAACCCCGACTGGGGTATAAAAGCTTGCTGTGTGAACTCTGACCTGCGATCTTTGTGAAATAGATAGACCAGGCAATTTCAATGCTGTTTCCGACCAGTGCTCTAATCAGTCACACATCCCATTGACTTAATTCAGTTAAGGTCTTTTTTGCCAACAAAAAAGCTGTCAGTCAAAGAGAAGCAAGATTGGACAATGATGGATGGAACCTCGTAATCCAGATATGGAAGTGTTTCCTGCTTTTAGTCAGCCTTACTTAGAGGCTCCTTTTGTTTCAGAAAGGGAACCTTCAGACGTTGAAAACGGTCAAAAAAAATTGTGAAATTTTGAGGCTTCATATGTTCAATATTGGATATTTGCTCTTAAAAATGGCTATATGTACAGTTTTAATAATTTCAAGATGCAATTCAGCACAGGGCCAATAGAATAATGCAAATAAATATTGAAATAATTGTATGTGCTCTTAAGGTATTACTTAAAATTTTTATTTAAGGTATTTAAAATGTTACTGTATAAATTGTAGCCATATTTAAATAATTATAGATGTATTCATTTATTCCCAGCTGCATTCTAAAATGGCATGTGTAAATAATAGTCAATTGACAGCATTTGGCAGTGCACATATATAGAGCAGTATTTTTGTAAACACATTGCTGCTCCGTTGGATCAAATGATGGACAGGCGCTTGTGCTCGCGTTGGAAAAGTAGCTGTCAATCAGGGAGGAAGACACTCTTGACTTTGGAGAGATGTATTTAGGTAATTGTAATTAGGAGTCCGTGTTTTGTTTTGCCTTTGCGTATTTAACCACAGCATTAAAAGGACAGCTGGATTCATGTATTCAGACTCCGTACATTTAGGCTGTGATCACTGCTGAGGATATCAGGCTGTATGTGAGGCAGTAAAGACGCAGAGCGTCCTCCTATTTATCCATGCAGAGATACGGCTCAGATTTGTTGTTCACACAAGCCGCTGACTAACTGATTATGTAATGCGAGGTTACGTAAGGTGAAAGCTCGACATGGAGGAACTTGTTCACAAACAATCCTCTGCTTCGAGTTTTTATTATCAACAGAATGGTTCCTCAAAGGAAACTGTTCGGTTTGCATTTCTCTGCTCCACGGCGGAGGTTTCATTTACTAAAGAGTTAAACGGCACGCTTTACACACAGGGAAACACTCAATGTTTATATGCTTGCAGGTTGACGGAAAGGCTCTTTTAGGTCACTGCATGGTGGCGTTTGTGAGTGACACATAGGTATCTTTACCTATGTGTAAAAATGCATTGATGATTTATTTCTTTATAAATTAATTTAATGGAATATCTGTGTGTGTGTGTGTGTGTGTGTGTGTGTGTGTGTGTGTGTGTGTGTGTGTGTGTGTGTGGGTGGTGTGTGTGGGTGGTGTGTGTGTGTGTGTGTGTGTGTGTTTCTGCACAGGTTTAGCTGTAGGTTTAGGTATTGGAGCCCTAGCAGAAGTCGCAAAGAAAAGCATCGGAATGAACGGAGCTGCAGGTAAAGCGAACACATCGAAGTAAAATAATTATTCTGGTGTGAATATTAATGTCTTGGATGTCTGTATTTAGACATGTATTATATGTTTTCTTCTCCACTTGAGAAGAAAACATCCTGTCTCATGCATGCTGTCACATCTTACGCACATTTCAATAACCGCCTCCCTGAAGAGCTCGCCTCTTAAGCAAGCGCTGCTTCTCTGTTCCAGTGACCTACTAATCCTAAGCTGAAACAGAGCTCGCAGGCGTAAATCCCAGGCTTTTGTGCATCTGCTGGCCGGTATTTTTATCTTTTTTTATCTAATCCCAGCGAGAACGCTCCTGACACACTCATGAGCGAGCGACAGGTAAATCTTTGTTGAAGCCTCCAAAGGACCCTGACGGCTCACTGACATAAATATGCACAAACACTCCCCCACCTCAGCGCGTTTTGCAAACGTCTGTTGTCCCTTCAGTTGTACACTACAGCGGGTCACATAGTGTACACCTGAAGGGACAATACGTGGTTGGAAGCGAGAAAGCGGCTCCTTTTGAAATACCTATCATGTTTAGTCGGGTTCAGACACTTTTTGTTTTCAACTGAGGACATTCCTTGTTTACTTTTACAGAAATATGAGAGAATCCATCTTGTCAGGCTCTGGCTTATTTTGGCTGTGGCCAAACCAAGTTGTCAGACCGTTCAGAGCTCCTACAGGCAGGTTCAAGGGTCAAAGGTGTTGCACAAGTCAACAATACAGCCTCAGGTTGCTGTCTTACTCTGCCTTGCAGGAGTAACAGTCTTTAACATCTTGTCACGTTACGTTTTAATGAAAACCTACCAGATGTGAATCAGTCTATGTCAATGAAACCCAAATAAAATGTTATTTTATTTTATTTTTTTCCAGGTGAAAATAAAAAAGCCGTTCTGGACTCCAGCCCCTTCCTGTCCGAGGCCAACGCTGAGCGCATCGTCAGGACCTTGTGCAAAGTCAGAGGAGCCGCTCTTAAACTTGGACAAGCTCTAAGTATTCAAGGTGAAAACATTAAATTAATAACCTTTATTCTTGAAAACTTTATTAAAAACCTCAAGATGATGTTTGTGATTCACAAAGTGTTTTAGAAGATTTTGATATCTCTCCATGACGTCCTGAATGTGTTTTGTCAATGGGAGGCATTCCTTTTGAACTGGTTGTGCAAAAGGAATGAAAACAGATGTTTTATGGCCATGTCTGCATAATTTCTCTGTCAGAACTTTTACACTGACACTGACCTGCCTGTGGATTACGATTTATTTGCTTTCAAGCAATCTTCAGGTGATTAAAGTACACTGCTAACCGCAGCAGACATGCTAGCGGCGAAGTTATGAACCCAGCTCAGGTAACGGCGATAAACACCTCGTCCTGAATTTGTTTACCACCGCTGGCCTGTCCCACAACTTGACCTTGTCCTGGTTAGCTCCCTCTTTTGGTATTAATGCTCACCATAAACATACTGGTCCAAACTTGGAAAGCGCAATGCAGGGAATGAGTAAACATAGCTGTACGTACTCAAGTAAAGGACATAATCTTCCCACTGTTTTCCAGTCAGGTTAGACCATGGATGGCAGAGCTAGGATGGCTATCTTTAAACCGGCGACAAGGTGATTCCAAAATAGTGACGGAGGAGGTCGGTAGCCTCAAATACTGTGAATGGTGCAGATAAGCTGAGTGAAATAATAAAAATTGCTGCAGGCTTCACTGCCCTCTGCTGACATTTGTCTGTCACAGCGGGAATGCTGTTCTTGGATTGTTCAACCGTTGTTTCCTTTCACCACAAGTCCAAAATAGTGCTCACCTTCAGAGGTCCCAGCTGTTTTAAAGGTTTATAATAATCATAGTCGCTGCCAAGTAGAGCGCAGTCTGGAGCTGCTGTACCTGCACAGTTAATCTGTATACCAGAATTTATTTCCCAGTAGAGATATGAGATTTTATGTTTTTCTGTGCGCCTGTCTTAGTGTAATAAGGATTTTTTAAAAGGATCATCTAAAAAAAAAAAAAAACTTAGGTCCAATAGTTTTTTGAAAAAATTTTTCTTTTGCAAATTTTTAGTTCAGCTTCTATGTCTTTCTGAGAATCATGTCGTGTTTCTGTGTGTTTTAGATGATGCGTTTATCAATCCTCAACTCGCCAAGATCTTTGAGCGTGTCAGGCAGAGCGCTGACTTCATGCCAATCAAACAAATGACGGTAAGTCTCTTTTCTCCAACAAAAAATATTTCCTGATGAATGTGAATTAGTCCTACGCCCAGCTTTACATGAAACTTAAAGATTTAGATCTAAATCAGTTTTTACCTTTACCAGCATGTTTCTAATGATTGAAAATAATATTGGCATTTTGAAATGGTGGAACCAGAGTCTCCACTTGAATCAGATAGAGAATTTGTGAAAGGACATAAAGATTAGGGTGATGACAAGGAGCAATTAGAAGAAGGATTTTGTTTTGTAATTGATGAGACTTTTTCATTTATTATTACGATGGATATACATTTTCAACATTGTATCTTTATGTTAAAATGCAAATAAATTTTCCTTGTACTACGTATTTGCCTTTCCTACCAGGAAAAAAAACTTGATAACTTTATTTCCATTGTCTGTGCTAGACGCTCTACCTGCGCCGATGAAGAATTGCTCAACTCGCCATGCTAAATCCTCATATGCTATGCTAGCATATCTTCTGACTGAGTCATTCATCAGTTCCCAAGTGGACATTTTAATTCATATGGGAACTGTGTTAAAGTGTAAAGGTCTGAGAAGAAGGTTGAGGATTAAATTAAAAAAAATAGAAACGTCTTAAACAAAGTTTGTTTCTTTAATCTGGGATCTGATTGGAATTTTCAATTGCCTGAAAATGTAATAATACTTGTACTATTTATTTAAAATCCCCTATAAAAGGTACAGTGAGGGCAAAAAAAGGCAAATGATATTTGTTTGTCTCCATCTGCAGAAGGCGCTGAACAGCGACTTGGGTCCAAACTGGAGGGACAAGCTGGCGTCGTTCGATGATCGTCCGTTTGCAGCCGCCTCCATCGGACAGGTGCACCTGGCGAGGATGAAGGACGGCAGGGAGGTGGCCATGAAGATACAGGTTAGGACGTAAACGTGTGTGTGGACACAGGGTATTCCCATGTTAGTAGGACCAATAGGATTACTGGAGAGAGTGTGTGTGTACGCCATCCATAATCTGATCCCTCTGATCTGTTTACAGACAGGTCAGAGTCTCTGTCCAACTAACAGGAGGGAGGACTAATTGTAGTAGAACTACTATATATCAAAGAGATTGAGTTTAAGAAATAAAACAGCTCAGTTGAAATAAATAAAGCTACTTTTTTTTTGTATGTTTCTGTCCTCAGTATCCCGGTGTGGCTCAGAGCATCAACAGTGACGTCAACAACTTGATGACTGTGCTGAACATGAGCAACGCTCTGCCTGAGGGTACGCACTCACCGAACCCATCCCAACACGCAGCAAGCTAACCAACAGCCACCTCCTCCAATCACCTCCTTCTTCCTGTTTTATTTCATCTCCTTTGGACCTCTAACATCTGCATTACTCTCATTTAGTCAGACATTTGCGTAACGTCTCACAGAGCGATTGTATCTTGGTTAAGGGGAAAGAAATCTAGCTATCAACACACTTAAAACATTTGGTAAATGTTTTTTTTTCTTCTTTAATGAGTTTTTTCTTTGCTCGTCTTCAGGTCTGTTTCCAGAGCACCTGATAGATGTAATGAGAAGAGAGCTGGCCCTGGAGTGTGACTACATCAGGGAAGCTCAGTGTGCAAAAAAGTTCAGGTACTTCAGAAAAAATGTTATGTATTTTATTTTTAAATCTGCAGAAACCCCTTCATGTTGCTTTTTGGCAGTTTTACATTTACAAGCCTTCCTGTGTGGATATTATTACAACTGCTGAAGAAAATGTATTTTATTTTATTATTTTTTTTGTTTGTTTGTTTGTTTGTTTTACATCCCTCGTGTTTTAATTATCCAGTTATTCTGAAGTCATTCTACCACATACATTTTTTAAAAGTTTTGGGTAGTTGTAGGTGGTTAGTCTGTTTTGAAATTAAGAGCAGTTGCTGGGTTGAGGTTGGTGCATTACCGTCACCTTGTGGTGTAATTGGAAACATGCCAGAGCTCTTTTTAAGAGCATGAAGTTGGACTTGATCGTTTTCCATGTCTGGATAAGTACAGAAAATTAAAAATGGATTGTGAAAAAATCAATTTGAAACTTTATACACTTTTGTCCTCTAATGTTTGCTATAAAACTTTAGACAGTAGAAAGCAACTTAAATAATGGCAGCCTATATTTAAGTAATTCTGTTTGAATTTTTTGCCTCTGCTGTGTTTTGCTTTTGGATTTATTTTTATTTTTTTTACATCTCTTCTCTGGAGTGAGTTGTGTTGTTTTATATATAAAAAAAACCCAAATATGAGCACAAGTAGCAAACAAACCACATGTCTTTAGCTGACAAAATTCTCTTAAATATGAATCTGTTTTTCTCATTGCTTTCTAAATGTTATAATTTATTGAATCTTATATGGGATTGCACTCAATCACCTTGCTCAGTACAATACAATGTAAATTGTGATAAGCAGATTTATAATACGAACTGCCTGGGTGCTTTGTTGGGCTCATGAATGCTTGCGTCTCCCTCCTTTGGCATAGGGAGCTGCTGAAGGACGACCCGTTCTTCTACGTGCCGGAGGTGATCGAAGAGCTGAGCAGCAGCCACGTCCTGACCACTGAACTGGTTCCTGGATTTCCCCTGGACAAGGCAGAGAGCCTCTCACAGGAGCAGAAGAACGAGGTGAGCCTAATGATTCACCCCGACCCGTTAGAACATTCTGGCTACCTGTGTTCCAACTGATCCCATTTCAGTAACACCACAATCTGTATGCTATAAGTAAATATAAAGACGTTGCAGTTGGTGTCAGCAATTAGCCGAACCAGACTCAGAAAGTCTTTGTTTCTTCCTTCAGATCTGCCAGAACATCTTGTTTCTGTGCCTCAGAGAGCTGTTTGAGTTCAGGTACATGCAGACCGATCCAAACTGGTCCAACTTCTTCTACGATCCAAACACGCACAGGGTGAGTCAGTTCATACCCTAAATAAGCCGCTTAGTTATAAAACTGTCTCCAGAGCTGATGTGCCTTGCAAAAAATATTGCAAAAAATATATCCCCCTCGAATTTTTGCCCTGTTTCGTCCCGGTCCAGCGACAGGCCTCAGTGTGTTTTGATGGGCCTGTTTCTGACACACCAACACAAACTATGCATGAATTTGCAGTGAAAGAAAATTATAAATCATTCTCAACATTTTTATTGAAAATAAAAATCTGAAAAGTGTGGCGGGTATGTGTATATTTTCATTGAGCGCTTCAGTTCTTCTCTTATTAGTCATCTGGCTTCATTGTCTTGTTTGTTCTGCAATGTTGCTAACAAACCTCAGTGGACTTATATTTATTAACTATAAGCATCAAGTTTTTATTTAGGCATATCAGACGTCACTTTTTCGAGTTTTATGTTGAAAGCTTCATTTTTTTTCCGTTCATACTACACTACTTGTGTGCTGGTCGATCGCATAAAATGTCGGTAGAATACATGAACATTTATGGTTGTTTTGCTGAATAATCAGTGCAGAAAAGTTTCTCCCACAATTTGCAGATGAGATGGAGAGGATTACAGTAAAATAAACGAACGACTGTTTCATTTTGTATCGCTAGGTAGCGCTGTTGGACTTTGGTGCTACTAGGGGTTTTGATCAGAGTTTCACAGACGTCTATGTAGAGGTAAGGTCATTACTTTATAATAGTTCATAGCTGTATTTATTGGTGTGTTATTCTGGCAGGAATTCATTTAGGAGGCTAAATATTTTCTCCACCTTTCTTAATCTTCTCATGTGACCAGATTATCCGTGCCGCCGCCGAAGGTGACAGAGAGGGAGTGCTAAAGAGATCTATTGATATGAAGTTCCTGACAGGATACGAGTCCAAGGTAATGATGTTTTTCTTCACCCGTTTCACCTGCTAAACTTTAACATCTTCTGTTTACCGAAGATAGCTCAGATTGTGGAGACGTACCCTTATGCTGTCTTCTTCATCAGGCGATGATAAACGCCCACGTGGACGCGGTGATGATCCTCGGCGAGGCGTTTGCGTCATCCGAGACCTTCAACTTCGGCGCCCAGTCCACCACCGAGAGGATCCACAACCTGATCCCGGTGATGCTGAAGCACCGGCTCACCCCGCCTCCGGAGGAGACGTACTCACTGCACCGCAAGATGGGCGGCTCCTTCCTCATCTGCTCCCGGCTCAACGCCAAGCTGCAGTGCAAGGACATGTTCCAGAAGGCGTATGAGAAGTACTGGGAGGGCCGCACGCCTCCCACTGTCTGAGCTGGTCTGGTGCGGATTCGACGGACTCGTCCTGGGGCCAACAGCAAAGTGCCGATCGATTGGGCGGGAGGGGGTTGAGTTTAGACGAACTGCAGAGCAGAGGATGTGAGGACGATGCGTTTCCTGTGTGACGTTTCAAGGAGCTATTATACAGTTTCAAAGGAACATCTGAAGTGGGAGCAGCAGCTTGCTGAACGAAAGGAGATGAATGTATAAAAGTTGGAGTAATCTCTGCTATTTTCGCTATGAATATTTTCTCATTTTTGTGTTGCTGTGTTTTCGTTTTGTTGTTCCACTTTTAGATACCATAAACTCAAAACACCTAAAAGTCAAAAACAAAAGAAAGACAGAGATCATGGCATTAATAAGACTTTGTTGGCTTTTCGGGTCTCACTTTTGACCAATTTGTGTGCGTCAGAAAGAGTAGGTAAGCTTGATTTATGAATATAAGGAAAACGCTAATTAATAATAGTTCAGCGACCGATTTGTTGTTGAAGTCGGGAGGTTTCGTCAGCTTTTACGCACGAGCTCTGACTCATGTTGTATTATTAGCTCACCGGTCATATTTCACTCTCGGTTTATGACTCTAGCTGCTTCGGTTTCAGTGGGACTAACATTGATGAAAATAGTTTGTCGCATTCAAAAACCAAACAAAGCGTTTTGTTTTGAGGCATGATGATGTTTAAGTTCTTCATTCTGTCCTGGTTCTGATTTTCAGCCTTTGTATTCCAGTCTAAAAGCAAAAATGTATGTGCAGCAAACACAAAACGAAAGATCCTTCCTGCGGTTCGTCATGGCGGGCGGGCAGGGGCCTCATCATCCAGACCACGCAACATCGCTCGCCCGTGGGCTCAAATCGCTTCCCACACGCCGCTGATCTTTCCACGCCTCCTCGGGTACAGACTCCTCCGTCACCTGGCGGCCATGTGGCTGTGAAAGTTCACAACGTTCTGATGTGTGAATGCAGTTTTAATGCTACATGGTGTGAAAATGGGGGAGAGAGAGGAAAAAAAGGGAAAAAAGCAAAGAGTAATGTGCCTGTCATTCTCCACTGAAGGCTTTTAGCTTGAAAATGTTGATTTATGTTTCTAATGACAGTTTCCAGTTTTATAATCAAAATGCAACTGAAAGTTAGAACAATATATTGTATAGAGAGATTAAATGTTTAAGCCCTAGCATTGTGTCTGTGTGGTATTATCAGGTAAAGCAGCCTCCGTTCGGTAGAGATGTGCTAAAATGTACGTCTGAAAAATCCAACCTTAAATTTTGGAATGGAAGACAATTCAAAATCAATAATCATTTCCTGTTTTTTTTTTTGTTGTTGTTTTTTAGTTATAGATGCCACAGTAACAGGTACCTGTATTGTCACCTTTGGTTGCTACAGTCTTGAAGAGACAAGAAGACTAAGGAAAAACAAACTAAAATATAAAACAATGTTTATTTCTAAAGGTTTCTTGTCCTATTGTCAACATGATAATCATTCCATACACCATTGAATTCATCTGTTGATCTTTTCATCCATACATACAAATATTATTGAGATCAATCATTTTTACAATCCGTGATTTTTAATCCTTCATTCTGGATTTTAATTTGACAATTTTCCGAGTCTGTTTTTGTATGGGAGAATGAAAGTTCACTGCAAATTCGCTCTGGATGTAAGTACATCCACACTGGAAACATTTATGGCAACTCAAGTTTTACTTTTGCAAACCCAAACGATCAAAGCTCGTCGCTGTTCACATCGTTGTCCAGCATGGGGCGCTGTGGCCTCATGAGAAACCTCAAGTAACATTTCAGATCTTGAAATGTTGACATTGCAGTATTGGAGTGAAATGGAAATGTGGCAGTGAATTTTGATGTTTGTTTTGCTTCTTTTCGACCAAATGCTTTACAAACAGCAGCAATGAGGAATAAGTCTATGAATACATGGAGCTAAATGGAAACGCATCCCCAAGACTGGAGAAGATACAAGCAGCCAGATGGGTTATTATCTGGAGCACAGCTGGCTGGTGGCACATTAAAAGGTTTAATATGTCAACCTTTGGTTATAAGACAATATGTTGTTGTCGGTGCTGTGAGGCTTTTGAAGCAAAAAAAAAAAAAAGAAACAAAAACATGATTAGATTCATGTATGATCCACCAGAGCCCTTTAACATCAAACTCATTTGTTGAACATTTCTGGAGAGAGAGAGAGAGAGAGAGAGACTGAAACTGAAAAAATGCAAAAGTGGCTTGCAATTTGAACCCCATAGTGAATCCAACATCTCCGTGAGTCGTGGTGCTATTTTTTAAAATTCTTTTTACAAATATTTCTTTTTATCAAGCCTTCAGTCTTCTGTGTATTTTGTGACATTGCAGGGTTTTGAGATGCTTCCAGAGTCAAGTAGCTGGAAGGCATTTCTGAATCCGGCTGTGTTTACAAGACTAAGAGCTCAGTGGGAGCGATGGGAGGATGTTGCACTCTGAGCTGTCTGGCCGCAAAGAGCAGGCAGTAACAAATCCTTATTTGGTGAAACAGGCCCAGCCAGTGAGTCAGTCAGCGAGTCTAAGTGCAATAATTTCAGACAAACAGCTCAGAAATCAGGCCTCGACAGTTTACTTCAGTGTGGTTTGGCACTATTTTTATACCCTCACAAGCACAATCAGGGTAGAGATCGTTAGTGAGGCTACTCACTACTACTACTACTGAGGGCGGGAGTGAGGGTTTGTCATGGAAACAGAAATAATCTTTTTGTAGTTTGGAGTAATTGTGGAATTTGCTGCGGGAAAATTGACAAAAAATTGGACGGCAATTTATTTGAGAAACTGTTTTAGTGTAACGCATTTTGGCGTTTCAATCTTTCGGCAAGCGTTTGTAGAGCAAGCATGTTCAGACGTTTCTTCATGAGTCAGAGATAAATTCACACTTTTATTTGCAATCATAAAAAAAACTGAACATACAAATGAAGCTAAGGCTGACCACATGGTTGCTGCAGGACACTCAGAAACTCTCTCGTCGCCACTGCGGTTGAATTTACAAGCAGGAAAAACTAGAAAGAGTAACATTTGTTATTTCAATAGAAAAAAAAACGTACATAATTCAGTAATTAATTATTAATTATTGCATGACTCCACAAGCTGCTTATGTTTAGAGTGCCACATAAATAAGCTGATTTAAAGTTCTGAAATCTCCATTTGTATTTGCAAGTGCAAGAAAATATTCTGTGGAGCCAAGTGACAAAAGCTGTTCAATCCAACAACTTGTTTTGTACAACTTTCTTCCATTGAAACACAAAATAATTTAAAAACAAGATTTTATACTTATTCTGGTTAGCTTTCTCTAATAAAAACAAACAAACTTTTTGCTCATCTAAAACATTTAAACATAAAAGAAAAGCAAAGACAGAGGGAGCCAAATACTTTTCTACAGCACTGCATGGCCAAAAACTCTAGCACAATGTCATTATTAAACAATACAAGGGTTTCCATGACACATACCAGAAGTTACTAAATATATACTTACAGTGTTATGTTTGATCTGGTTGCTTAAACTGCTTCTAAATCGAAATAAAATGAAGACACGTCAGTAACACTCACTTAAGAGAACATGGATCAGTTGTAAGGCATTGAATAATATCACCTTTACAGACATCATTCATCGTTATTATCATCATCATTTTCTTGCATATAAACAGTGTACAACATAAAAAGACATAAAAACATTGTTTTGTTATATATATATAAAACACAGCAGAGTCATTGAAAAGGCATTTGGTTAAAAATACAGACGACACATAAAAGGTACAGGAACTAAACCTGAAATATTCACATTAGGTTTGATGCAACTGACACAATTACTAATTTAATCGTTATGTTTTAGAGCCGTTTTGTCTGTCCCACCACTCAACATCCTGCATTACAGTGGCAGGAAGCAATATCTGTTAATGCCAGGATTATTAACCAGTTTTAAAATGACACTATGCTTTGACCAAATGAAGAAACTCTGAGGGTACAAATACATTTTGAATAAAACTCGCTAATTTCAATACATTCACACTGTTGCTGTGTGTTAATTGGAGTAGTTACAACTTCATCAGATCCTTGGAAAGCAGCAAACTGTGATCATTTGTGTCCACGGCGTATCACCTTATTCTCAGCTCGCGTATAGCTTTAAAAAGAAAAACAGACTCTTATCCAGAATAAATTTGCTAAGTAAACTCAAAACCCAAACTTTCACTTGGCTCGAGTCAGCTCTTACTTGACCCTCTCTGAGCACACGTTGCGCACTTTTTAAAAATTTTTAGCAAACAAGCTCTCAGAGGTTTTGATTTGGTGCATTCCTTTTGATCGCAGTCGAGCCAAAGTGACCCAGTGGCTCACTCCATCAAAAATGATAAACAACATAGTATGAATATGAGTCGTTATTAGCTTCTGATCCTGGTTTGGCTCCGGATCCTGGAGTTTTTACTGCTCAAGTTTGGTGAAGCTATTTGGTTTCAGGATGCTCTCTGACCTCTGATAAAGTTCCTGGAAACAAGCCAACCATGCACCATGTGGCGACCATGAGAAAGCTCTTGTTAGAGCAGCGAGTCCAAGGAAGCCTTCTGATGGATGATTGAGAATAGTTTATAGACTTTTCTCACTTTTAACCCAATGCCCCCCCAGATTCCTTTGCAGGTATTGTTCTACTTTCAGTCTCCGACATCGGGAGTGTTGTATTTAACACTCCCGATGTTAAATACAACACTGTAGTTAACATACAACACTGTGCAGACCTGTAACCGACCACAGACTCTCAGGTTTAGTCTTTTCTTTAAAGTGACAGACGGGGTTGTGGCCACGTCAAACGCAATGAGCTGCTATTTTAAGACTTGCTAATTAGATCTGAAGCTTGAATAATGTGTAAAGTCCCACTGGCACAGATTTACACATTTAGGATGTGTGAAAATTCAAATCAAATAACAAGGAAAGATGAATCCTTTTGGAAAAAAAAAAAACTTAAACAGGCATATTTGAACCACCAAAGTCATATGCTTAGCAAACATCTTTGTGAATTTATTCTTTTAAAACAAGAGTATAGTTTTAAATAAAAAGACACATTTGAGAAAGATGTGATTCCATTTGCACCCACCGCTGGCTGTTAGTTTGCCACTGAATATTTTGTTTCTTTTAATCAATGAAAGCACTAAGAGATTTTTAAGCAGTGGTGAAATTTAATGGGGATGTTAGAAATATTGCAAGATTTACATGAAAAATTGCTAATGCCCAGCTTGTGCTAATCTACAGCTCTATAAGCGGAGAGTGAACCTCGTAAGAGACACCGGAGATAATGCGACACATAGCTGCTCAGCTTCCAGTTCAGCAGTGGGAACAAATTTCACAAACAGCGTATGATCATGTGAAATCATTTTTTGTTGTTATTGTTGTTGGATTTCCAATTTCACTGGATTTTCAAGTTAATGCTGAAGTCAAACACGAGCAGTTATTCCTTTTAGACCAAAACAAAAGCCAAGAAAAACATTTCTCTCTAAGATAAAACACAATAAATTTTTTTTTTAATGTCCAAATTCTTGTTAAATACAAACACAAAAGCAGCCTGGTGTCGACCAAGTCAGCAGCCAGCCATCAGTCGATTCATATTCATTCATTTTTTTACACGTCGCCGCCATACGCTGTTGTAAACTCGACATCAAGTTAAAAGGCGTTAAAAGTTTCCCTTCCTTGTGGTTTTGTTGGGCCAGCTTCACATGATCCGTCCGTGAATGTGAGAGAGAAGCGTCTCAGACGTCTTGAGGGATACCTTGGTCTCTACAGCCTGAGGAATCAAGAAGCACAAAAAAAAACTTTATATTTTGATACGCAAACATTACAAGAGACAAAAATCAGAGCCTTGTTTCCAATCAGCCGATTAGTAGCTCATGAATACTAACCAGATTTTTTAGATTTGCTTACAGTTCTAGTCAAAAGTTTGCATACACTCATAAGCAGAACATAATCAGCTTATTGTCACCCAAATCAGCTTTTTATGTCACTTTTAAGATGAGGTGAAGTCGAAGGCTTTCAGAAATCAAACATCAAAGCAGGTTTTGGAAACAATGAAGCTGGTTAAAATGTAGCCTTTCGAGTGACAACAGAAATTTCATGGACCATACTTAATGGCAAGAAACAGACAAAAAAAAAAAAAAAAAAAGGAATTAAGCCGATTTTGCCAATAACATTGGTTAAAATATCTAACCAGAATGATGCCAGAAACTTGTTCCAGGTATATTAAACCAATTATTGCAAATGAAGCAAATTCAATCACATGACAAACCTCTGACCAGAACTATCAGTGAAAAGAAACCCCAAGACACAAACAAACAAACAAAAAAAATGAATACACATTCAGACTCAACACGACAAATTTCTCTTATTTGGAGAGACAAACAGAGAAAAGGTTGTGAAGATAGTGGGTGGTTGGATGTGTGAAACATTGCAGAAGCAGCAGTGACAGCAGACTCCAACTTAGTTTTGGGTGAGCGGTGGGTACAAGCACATAACACAAAAATAAGCAACGCGCCGACAACTTCTGCACATCCACAAGAGTGACATAAAAGGGAGTTTTGGAACCGAGTTTTCTCCCAAGGAGTTGTTTTGTTGGCAGAGTGGAGCTGGGCTTGCTGAGGGAGCTTTGCTTCATTTAGTGCTTTAGTCAGTGTGGAAACATCCAACTAAATCCATTCATATTATTTGCTGTTACATTTGACCAGTTGTCTCGAAGGTTAAAACAAACAGACTGAGAGACCAGAATTGTTGGAACGTCGCAATAAAGACACAAATACTGGTGAGAGCAATGCTGTTTATGAAATCTTAAAGTGAAAAATGTTGGTGACATCGAACACGGTTTTAGGAGCTGCACACGGCAAACAAAACAGGGATTTAATCTGAATGAGGGAAACAAAAGCTTAGACAGTTTACATAGCAAAATATTCCCCTGTAAGTCTCAAATCTTACAAAACTGCATGTTTCTTGTGAGAGAAAGAGACAAATTATGTTTTGCGATATGAAAGCTGAGCGTTTCACTGTGTTGCTATGAGACAACATTGCTGTAACTCTAACATTTTTAATCTATTAAATACATATCGTCACTATGTAGATGGTATCAAGGGAGGAATGTCAAATTTTCATCCAAACTTGTTGGGGAAAAAAATATTTGCTTGTAATCTGAAACAGATCTCTCGCATGACCAGCAAAAACTTCCGCTTGAATGAATTGTGGGTTCGATTTTTGATAAGGTGAGCTTTTCTTTGAGGAATCTTTACAGCTTATGGAACATCATTAAAAGCCGAGCAAGTTGAGTTTTGTTGCAAAGCATCTGTGAGACTTGTGATCTGGTGGGACTTTGGGGAGAAAAACAACAAAAGCACTTACCATCAGAAACTTTCCAAAAGGAGAGCAGAGGAAGGAAAAAAGAGGCAAAGACAAGGTTAGTCATAATTATATATGTATAAAAAATCATCTCATCTCTTAATCCAGATATATTACATGAGCTACTGAAAGGATTTACAGCAACACAACTCTGAGACTGGGGCATAGAAGTGAAGATAGTGAGCAGAGGCAGAGGAAGGAAGGAAAAAAAGAAGAAAGAGAGATCAAATTGAAATAATTTTTAGAGAAGGAGGAAAAAGGATCAGAAGGGGAAAATAACACCAAAATCATTACATATATGGAGAGAGAGAACTTGGAAAGAGATATGGAGGCTGATCAAGAGAACAGGAGAACTGATAAAAATCCAATATTTCCGATTGAATTGCTGGAGGCAAAAGAAAGACAAGGAGTGCAGCTGAAAAGGAGCATTTACCTCCCAGAGAAGCAGACACTTGTGCTATAATAATGACCTAACAATTAATCCTCCACCCAAACATGCATGAACGAGTTCGGCTCGAACCAGAAAAGGCAGCAGAAATACCCAGCAATGCTGCAGCCAGCAGAAAGCAGACATTTTTAGGAGTGATGGTCGAGGAAGACAAGAACCCGGAGGCCTGAAAGCCAGTCGGGATCCGTGCACAAAAACGCAGCGGGGCTGCTGGTTCCAAACACACACTCGACGCTCACAGCACTGCAAGCACACGCAGTCTTCCAGGTTTGTGTGTGTGTGTGAGCTGATGTGCTTTGATCGCACGCAGGCAGCAACCACCTCATGCGTGCTCACAAAGGAGGCAGTTCTGCACTAATTCAAAGGCTGCTTCAGCTCACTGGGGGGGATAGAGACTATTTCTCTATGCTGGAGCCAGTTCAGGCATCACTCCTGAAGAAGAAGAAGAAGAAGAAGAAGAAGAAGAAGAAGAAGAAGAAGAAGAAGTAGAATAATAGTAAGAATAATACATCTCATGTCAAGGAAGAAGGAGGCGAAATTTGCCCACCTTCCCATCTCTGTTCTACACGCTCTTGCATCTGTTGTTTATAAATTATACAAGATATCTTGAATACATGGGGGTTTTATATTATTTTGGTAATATTGCTACCAAAGAACAGGGGCGGTGTAATTCAGATTATTATTTTTTTGGCTATGAATAAATCCCAGCAATCAAAATAAGTATCCATCACATCAATCATAAAAGTGAGCACTTCAATCACTTAATTAACATGTTGTTTGTGATTCCTATTCTTTTTGTCCTTCTTGCTTAAAAAAAAGTGGGTTTATCTTTCCAGCAACAAGCGCATCATTTACAATCTTGATCTTAGAAAGCTAAAACACGTGAGGTGATCACAAAGTGAAGAAATGGGTCACTGTGTCACAGTGGAACAACCCGGAAACCATAATGAACCACAACAGTTCATCTACGAATCTGTAGAGGAATATTCACAAAGAAACCGCTCAAGCCTGGATGCTATTCTGTTTAAATAGCATTTGTTTCCAGCTCATTTTGGTTGCTCGCCCAAAGATCTTTTTTTTTAAAGACGTGGAGTCTGACCCAGAGCACAAGGCAGCAGCTCATCTCCACGTCCGCCACTGCGAGTGGTCGACACGTCTGTCAAGCAGTCAGAGTCAAGAATATGCAGACGCGATGCCTGCATATGTATCCAAAAAGCTGGCATGATCCAGAGGGAAGTAAACCCCAAAATAGCACACCATGACAGGAGCGTGTACCCATCACTCTAAACCTCTGCGTCACCTTCATCACCTCCATCAGCTTCCCCGAGGGGCTTCAGGTGAAAATACTGGAATCTGTTGCATTTAGTTCAATAAATGAGTGTGAGCAAGGGTAGACCGAAGTAGAATAAATTGGCCTTTTTAAAAATAAATGTCAATGAATGACTGAATGATTACAGGAGGGTACAAATCACCAAATCTGCTCCCGAGTCCACATTTTACCTAAAAGGAAACATGTTGCACTTATTACACGCATGAATATGAACTGCGTTTAGGTCTCATGGGTGACATCCCTGCGAAATGACGAAGAGGTGAAAGGTCAACACTAAAATCACTCCAAGGCGGAACTGTAGAAGAGCGAGCAGAGGGGCGATAAACGCAGCTACTGACTCGCCAGGATGACCATGTCCATCCCCCAGAAGATGCTCATGATCCATCCAACCATTATGACGGCTGTCAGGATCTGGATGAGGGCAGCCGCCACGTTGAGCCAGAACACGCAGCACACGCCTCTCTCTGAGATCAGCTCGCTGCGTGCGCCGCACAGCACGGTGAACGCCGAGACGAAGGTTCCTGCGACAGAAACAGAGGCAAAGAGAAAAGTCCTGAGCTGCACAGTTTGTCAAAAAGAAAAACAAAGGTAATAACCGCTGTGAAGTTGCAGAAGCAGCCGCACTCATCACTGCCCAGTGTTTGGCTCTGAGATATTTGCAGACTGGCGTGATTAAAGGCTTTTAAAGTAGTTTTCCCCTCTGGTTCATCTCCGGTGAGTTATATCAAACAACTGTCTTCCCTGGGAAATAGACCAGAGCTCTCTGATGAGAAACAATTCACCAGTTAATCTGAAGTCAAACTCACAGCAGGGCCTGGAGCTGCTGCATAACATGCAGAATGTCTTCTCTATACTCATCTAGCACAATTACTATAAGGTAAAAAAAAAAAAAATCAATAAGAAATGGAAATGTAATTAGTTTTTTTAACATGTGGAATATTATCTAATATGTTAGCAATCATCTTCTTGACACAAATTTCAGATTTATGACGTTCATAAAATCTCAAGGATCTCTCACAGTCCCCCGTCTCTTCTGACTCCGAGCTATCAGACAAGATCACCACGCACACAAGTTAATGCAAACACATGCAGTAGTCTGTTTGAGGCTGCTGCTTAGAGTAAGAAGCCTTGTCAAAGTATTTATACCCCTTAGATTGGGCCTGGTTACAAACGGAAAGTTCAGCGTGCCTCATTGAGTTTTTATGCGGTAGATTACAATTCAAATTAAGCTGATTTTTATGGTTTTCCTTCTTCTGGAATCGAATGCGTGTGGAATGGCAGCATCATGCTGTGCGAGTGAACTTCTTCAGCAGGTACAGAGAAGCCGATCGGAGTTGATGGGAGGACGGACTGAACAAATACCGGACATTCCTGGAGGAAAACCTGTTGAAGGCTGTAAAAACCCTGCAGAGCTTCACCTTCTGCGAGGACTGAACATGGTTTAAATTCAAGCACAGTCGTCTTCGAACGGCCTAGTTGAAGTCTAAACTTAACTCATTTCGGTAAGACTTGAAAAAAAAAACATTTGGACACATCAAAAATCAGTGTGACTGAATCTGAGTTGCTATGCAAAGAATAATTAGCAAATACTTTGGTATTGTTTAAAGCTAGTGGAGACGTTCTACAAAAGACTGACAGGAAGACTGAATACAAATAAACCACTCCTTTATAATATGTTCTATTTGTAAAAAATTGGAAAATGTAGATATTCTTCAGCCTCATGTACTTTGTGATGGTATATCTGAAACTAGATAATATTTTTTAAAAAGTTCAAGATGTCTGAATATTAAAACAGTTTTAACTGACCCCAGTTAAAACTGTATTTATCATAAACATACAGAGTGACCGTGGGCCAAGTCACATAAACCGCATCGATTATACTGTGACTTTACTGCCTCTGTAATACATCCGCTCGGCTTGCAGCCACTGTGGCATCATGTCTCCATTCCCTGAAAGCCCCACAGCCGTATTAACCCTCCACTGACTGCATGAGCTGAAATGAGGGATCGTCTCTCTTTTCCTGAATGCAGCATCGCTCCTCACCCAGCACACCTCGGCACACTTATATCCGTCCTGTGCGAATGTGGGTCACGTTGTCTGCGCACATAAACCACATTACTGTATCGCTGTGTTTCCATAACAACACATGCTCATGAATAGCATTTTCTGCACATAAAGGCATAACCGTTGCTCTTTGACATGAAGTTAATGGATGATTCTTGTTCCTCCATGTTTTTCTTTTGGATTATCTTGCCAGCGACGGACTGCATTGGATTTCGCCTTCCTGTGTATATTCATCCATTTATAGTCATGACTGGGGTTGAGACTAAGTTGGTCAGATGTCTTAGAGTGTGTTTGTGTTTTAGTGTAAACTGCATTAAACTACTGAACCCCGGGTTTTCTAACATAATCTGTGGCATAAACATTTTCTCCATATATATGTTCTTACGCGTGCTTGTGTGGTACTTTATGTATTAGAGTTGTTTTCTTGGTACTATTTCCACTGGAGCAGGTTGGTTGAAATATTTTTTCTCTCTCCTAATTCTTGAGAATCCTAATTCAAAAGCGGCATTTCATATTTACTCGGGTCAAACAAACACACCAAAGTAGAAATCCAAGGGGTTCGACGTATCATTGCTTCTCAGAAGTGACGCACCAATCAGCTGACAGCCTGTCAGTGTGCTGTCTTGACTTTCACCGCTTTGAACAGGGTGGCTTATGTTAATAAAATCTCATTTATGGATGCTTTTACTGAAACGTCAGTAGACGTGGTTACTTGAGTGACAGCCTACGATGCTGTGATGTTGCTACGCATTCATCTGCATTTAAAGTGGGAAGAGACGATCTCAGAAAACCTTGTGATATTATTGCTAAATTGTGACAACAACATAGCGTCAGCTGCGATAAATCCACATTTAATTTAGTCCTCTGTCAGTTGTCTTTATGTAGCTTTTTAGCTTTTGTTGTGTTGAAAACTATCTTGTGTGCCAGGTGTGAACATCCAGTGAGACGCCACTCTTTTAATTGGCTGACAACACAGGAATACCATTACCCACAAACACTGCATTTTAAACAGTCCTGTCTTATTAATATCACATGCCCTGATGCGTTGGATATTGGATTAGCCAACTCAGGTTTCAGTCTTGTACACACAGGCGTGGTGTTGTGTGAACACGCAAATGTGTGCGCATACTTGTGTGTGTGTCTGTGTTTTGTTTTGTTTTTTTCTAATTCAGTTTGGTCACAAATAGGAGCCTCAAAACCATAAAGAAGAAAAATACTGTAAAATTTTCATTGAAAACGATGATCAGATGTGATGAAACTGCAAATTCATCAGCGGCAGCGGCACAGCAGGACAAACAAGCCTTTCACCTCAATTTGTTGTCTTCCTGCAAGGCTGAAAACATTTATTTTTATTTTTCCCAGAAAATGTTGTTTGTTCAAGAAATTATTTGAAAACTTTGAGGATAAAAACTATTGTGTGAATAAGTTTTCATGTAGAACACCTTAATTTAAAGCTAACCCACTACCGATACTGAGGCCAAACTTGCTGTTATGCTCAAGAGCTTATGACATTAACCACAATTTCTCTTGTACTAATTCTTAAAATATTCACATTGTTGATCTGCATTCTAAGTTCAGATAATCGGCTTTCACTAAAAATACATAAGCAATAAATAAAAACAAAGATTTCTTACAGAAAAACACACTGTACATGGAGCACATCCCTATGAGGAGTTTCTCTTGTGCTTTCCACACTGAGTATCCCGTTACATCAGGGTATTACAATTGTGAATCAACAATTTCCATTTATTTATTCACATAATCACTTTTAGTCATACATAATTAGTGCTTTTCTCCAAAAGAATGACTTGTTCTCTGGTTTTCCAACTTCCTGGTTTGAGTTCAAGAATGCATCAGAAGACATTCTTACGAAAAATGAAGCAAATTATTTACCTTATATTTGAAAACTGGCTGTAAAAGACAGTTGCGCCATGCAACTTCTTGAAGTCAAATCAACATCTCCATTCAGACAGTCAGCTGATCTGTCTGTCTGGCCGTCGTCTCTTCGAGCTTTTCTGTTTCCCTTCTTTTTGCGAAATCTGAACTGATTTCTGCAAACGCTGACAGCCACACTAGAAGTGCCAGTGGGCGTCATGTGCATTGCAACTTTGGTCCTTTCCTCTCTGCAAGCTTCGGTTCTTGTCACTTTGGAGGAATTCAAACACCAGGAGGAAAAAGGCGAACAGGTGGAAGGAAGGAGGAGCGAGAACGGCCCGGCTGCCAGCTGAGTCTTGCTCCTTGGAGAGAAGATTCAGCCAAAGATTGATCATGTTCGGGTCAGTTTGATCACAGATCATGTCTGTGATTAATTCCAAGGTAGATAAATAAACAGGGCAGATGCATCAGCCTTTTAAACGAGTGATAGCATACCTCGGTCGGCATGCTGTCACCCTTAAATGACTAAAAGACGCGGAAAAACGCCACTTGACCTCTTGCATTTGAAGTGCTCAGTCTTTCACCTCCAACTCACTTCAAAGCCTCTCACATAAAAGAGCAGCAGGAGCAGAAACCGCTCAGATCGGATCTCCAGGTCGTCGAGGCCTCGCCCACCAACAGATGCTCTGGCCGCCTGGTGGAGCCGCCCACTTTCAGATGTGACTGACAGCGAGCTGCATGGTTACGCATCACTTCCATCTGAGCTTTGGCATGCAGAGCAGGATTCATACGGTCGGGCTACTTTCACTTTTCCTGTCTGGTGTCCAACTTCTGCTCACTCTGTGAGGTACTGATAACACGTGTCGCCTTCACAGAGCAGCTGGTGTTAGCGTGTTTGTCATCTTTTATATCCACTAAGCAAAGGAAGTTATTATGGCTAAAATACTTTTCTATTTTCTTGAAATCTAAAATCGGACATATTGCCTATAGAATTGATTATTATTAAGATTATTTATTTATTTTTTTTTAGCTATTTCTTTCTCGTCTTTATAAATGCAAAAAAGTCAATAAACAAGAAACATTTTCTCAGCCGGTTCCTTTGAGACTTATGGCTCATGGCCACTGGATTTTTTTAAGCCAGAAATAGCTTCATGTTGAGGCCTAAAACAACATGACAGGATCAGGGTAATAAAACAGGAAGGCTGCACATTTGAGTGTGATGTCATGACAGCAAAAATAATGATATCAATGACTGAATTTGCTGCCAAGATGATAAATCAGCACACTAGAGGGTGGAGGTCAGACCTCGAAACACTGGAGACTCTAAAGGTCACGTCATATTATCGGTAACGACACAGTAACACTAAAACAGAATAACTACACAAAATAAGTTTCATATTGATGCTGCTATTTGAAACATATTGACTTATCTATTTCATTTTCTCGGATTAGCATATGTAACTTTTCAACTTGATTGCAGGGTCAACTTACGGGGAAAACTACAAAGCAATATATGTTGTAGAAACTCATCATAACAAAAAAAAAGGATCCACAAACCAAGGGGAAAGAACTAATGCAAATG